GAGGATAAATATTTTTACAGTCTCCTATCAGGCTGTCTTCATAGAAGGCAGCTGGTTTACTTACCAAGAGGTGAAAATGCTGCCATTACAATAATTCTCTGTATACGAGTTGCACAGTGATTTAAATGCAAAAATACTGGATTTTCTCTTAGGATGTGATTTGATTTGAGCTCGGCACTGTGCCTGATCTTAATATAAGGCCTAAATTACTTGATCTTTAATTTCACTTTTAGAAAAATATGTTACTCCTTTTTTGGAGTCATGTATATATTTTGTGTGTGTGTGAAAATGAAGTGAGACATTATACTGCATTTCGTTAGAGCTACTAAAGCGACTGCTTTAAGTCCCCCCACCCTCACCGTAAATCGAGATTAGAGCCATTCCTTTAGTAACTCATCAGGATCTTAACTATTATTTATCACACAGATGGAAAAGCTTGTTCTCTAATGTCTCAGTGACAGGCAGAAAAGATGGATATCCAGGTAGAAATGTACCTATCTGTGGTTTTTAGTCTTTTTCAGCAGATATTACTTTTTATTCTACTATGTTCCCTTCATCTCATCATTATGTTATTTCACCCTTGTCTTCCTGGTTACCTAGGATCCTGGACTTTTTCATCCTTTTTCCACCATTAGACTTGCTATCCTGCGTTTCATTCTGTTGGAATCTGAAGCTTAGGTAAAATGTAGACATGAAAGTAGTAAGTGTGATTAACACGTCAGTCAGTTAACATGTTTGTATTTTACAAGAGATAGAAATCTGACTCCACTCTAAGAAATGTTTATTTTGGGGAATTTTCAGCACTAGGCTAGTTGATGCATCCATTTATTTAGTCACTGAAAATCAATTTCTAGCAGGGCTAACTTGATATGGAATGGACAGCTGTGCTCACAGACCCTTGCAGAGGCTCTCCTTGTTTACTCTTGATAGCTGAACCATTTTTAACTGGGAGCAGTCTCATATCCTATGGTGCAAATACTCCTCTGACATATGAAGCTCACCAACTTGAAATCCATATCAAGGTGCAAATGTCTAAAGCCCTCCCCCGGGTTGGGGTCAGGAAGGGTGAAGAGCTCTGTGATTTTGCCCAAGACTGGACCTGGCCTTGGAGAACTCACACCCACTGCGTCTTTTATCAGTCCTGGCATGGAATTTAAAAATCACACCCATTTATCACATCAGAACTCTGAGGAAGAGATGTAAGGTGGTTCCTGCCCGCCCACCGCCCCCAAGCCTTCCGAGTTATGGAATGGTAGCAAAGGTGCCTTAGAGATACGTGAGCTCCTGTTTCCAGAGGGGAGGCCTTCTAGTCAGCCGACTGGTACGTGGGGGGCCAGGTAAATGCTGCCAGGTCGTAGCCAATGGCGATTTAATTCCAGGTCTTAGGATTTCCTCTCTCTGCTCTTGGAGTTTGTGGAAGCCAGCAGGTTATAGCCAGACCCCTGACCTCTCGAGCAATTCAGAAATGAGCATTTGTCCACAACACCCCATCTAAATGAGGAGTCACAAACTCAGATGCCCACAGAAGTCAGTCCTGAGAACAGGAGAAACTGCCTAGGTCTGTGGCAATTAGGGAGTGTGTGCTCAGGTGAAGGGCCTGTTCTCTAGTAGAGTTGCCTTGCGAGAATGTGGGCCCAGGATTGTCAGATCACCGAAGATTTTAAGAGAAAGTGGAAATCTGTGTTTAATGTGAAATAAATTGGCAGCTAATTAAAAATTTTTTAAAAGTCTGGCTGGGAATGGTTGGACAATTTGAAATGGGCCAAATGAAGCATGCCTTTTGGCTGTTTATGGCCTGTGGTGGTTGAAACCAGGGAGACTGACGTTTAGAGCCTACTTGTGAATTTAGGTCGGAGTCATAGCTTCACCCTTGCTCTCAGCTGCAGAATTGCCTTTTTACGTGTGATTTTCTGTCAGGTTGTTACTGCGGATTTGTCAGAAGCAGCATTTCCCTACCCTAGGCCTGTTCCCCCGGCACCTTTCTTTTTAATGTTAGATGCACAATTCTTAGCATGAGAGTAGTTGCAAGAATGGGTAGGTTTTGATCAGAAAATCGTGCAGTTAGGAATATTGTAATTGTGAAGTCAGTTAGCTCTGAGCCTTGGTGGTGTCAACTGCCCCTTGGTGGCATTGTGCTAGGGCAGTCAGGCCAGTCCAGCTCCTAGGGAACCCCGGAATGGGAGCCCGTGGTATCTGCTGCAAGGGTTTCATGAGCAAATGGCATTAAGTCTGCTCCCTCACAGCCTGCACTTGGTCACACTGGATTGTTAATGAAGCAGATTCCAAAAGAGCCTACTTGGAAATGCAATATGAACTGTGATTCCAGAAGTTGGGGACAGTGGGCAGTGTCACAAATGTCATGGTACTAGTGCTCACCTTATGTCTGTGGGTGACTTCGAAAGGAGCATCATCCTCTTCCTGTTTTTACGCCCACCATACCCTACTTTGGTAAGAAGGAATAGGTGGTATGCTTCTTCTTTTCGGTAGGACACAGGGGCTCCGAAAGCTGAAGTGATATTCCTGAGGTCGTCAGCTGGCACAGTCTGGATTTGAACCCTTGTCTCCTAGTCTTGGGCCATCTTGGCTCCTGGTACGGTGGGTCCTCCTGTTCATTGGCTTTTCAGTTCTGCACCTCCTGTATGACTTCTTTTTACTTTTTTTGTTTTTATTTCCTTTTTTACATTTCTGTATTTTTTTCCCCGTGTTCTCATACAGGGGAAGAAGGTGCTCATACTCAGAAGAGGGTGCTGCCAAGGGCTGTCTAGAGGGAGGGTGTCCAGGCCCCTAGCTGGTCCTGTCCCTGACCTTTCTGGCTGTTCCTTCTGCCTCCACCCCTTACCACATGGCCCGCCTGCCCTCTGTGCCACTGGCCAGTGTGTGCCCACATTGCTTTGTCTCTTGAAACACTGCAGGCAGGGCTGACCAAGAAGCAATGGAAAATGCAGTAGGATAAGCGTTGAGTGAGGGAATCACGGGACAGATGGAATCAATGGAAGGAAGAGCTTGAAGGCAGCTGCTTAGCAAGTGGGACGTGGGCATGGAAGGCTGAACTGTTGGAGGTGTGAATCCGCTCTCTGCTTCTTACCCCTTGACCACCACAGCAAGTCACTTAGTCTCCCTGTTCCTGGGCCTCCTGATATGTAAAATGAAGACTATACTTACATCAGAGGTTTATGATAAGCATGAAATGAGCAATTTATTTAAAATAATTGGCATTAGAAGATAGTGCTACTACTATGGTGGCTGCTGCTCTTAACATTCTGATTTTTTATGTTTCTGAATTTCTAATCTAAGTTACTTCAATTTGTGGCCTGAGGTAATTTCAGACTGGGCCCCTGTTGAGGTAGGAGATATTTAACAGAAGGAAATGAAGGAGAATGGTAGAGCAGGCAGTAAAGTTCTGGGGCCAGGTAAGCAGTTTCCCAGAGATGCTACCTGCCTAGTCAGCTTGTCAGCCTCAGGTCCTTGGAGCAAGTGTCTCATCCATGGGAGTGAGTTTCTAACGGTTTCCTCAGTACTGACTGAATACTCTGAGGCAGTGTACCTTTGGGATTAAGGATGTGGGAGCCAAATCAGGGAGACAGATCTCAACTCTGCTACCTCCTAACTGCAGGCACTTAGGCAGGTTTAAAACCTCTCTTTGCCACAGCTTTTTGTTTGTAAAAAGGAAATAATAACGGTACTTTCTTTGTGGGATTGTTAGGAAAACAAAATAGTAAAAAGATGTTTTAACATATAACTGTTGAATGAATGTTGGCTGATGTTATTGGTCTAGAAAAGAAACTTCTAAGATGGTTGACTGACCTTTTGATGCTTTTAGTTCTGGAAGCTTAAGGCTGTATTGAACTGTTCAGGAAATGTCTTTGGGGACACTGTTCTCAGCACAATTGGGTAATGCTGTAGGTTCCTTCTTGGGCAATAACCTATAAATCCTGGATCTACCACCAGCAGTAGAGAAATTTATCTTCCACTATGGCACACTGTCAAGCATAACTCTAAATTTAGTTTGGGAGTTGTGTTGACAAGTACTTTTTTTAGAAAAACAATCACAATGAAGGTCCTCAACATCCCCCTCTGTCAACATCTCCCCAGCACTGTGCAAAGAAAGGCAGAAATTATGGTGTCAGATTATTAATGGTGTACCAGTCTTGTTACTTCAGACAGAATAATTCCATTACCTCAGCAGGCTGACCCTCTTTATTCAGCCTAGAGCCAAGGACCTACCAACTTCTAAACAGAAGAGAACTGAACACTGATGAAAGTAGATTATTATTGGCTGCATGAGTTCAAGGAGAGCAGAGAGTCCAGAAATAGATCCATACATATCTGGTAAACTGGTTTTTAACAAAGGCACCAAAGCAATTCAATAGAGGAAATAAAAGTCTCTATAACAAATGGTGCTGGAGCAGCTGGATAAAAATGGACATCCAACCTTCATCAAAATTAACTCAAAATGGAT